AATCCAGTGCATGTTTAGACAGAGCTGGGGCATGCTGGGAGGTGCAGAACTTCCTGTCTAAACATACCTGGGATTGTGGCACGAAGATGCCATCCTATGCACATTTACCTAGAAGTAAATCCCAGTGAAATCAATAGGATGTACTTGCAAGTACCTAGGATAGCTAAACATTTGATAGCCACACTTGCTACAAATCCATCATAATAAAGAAGTTGTGGGTTGGTATCTGCTGGTAGCTTTTGGGGGCTTGTTTGCAAAATGGAACTCAACATACCTGGACAGCAGAGACAGGAGAATTAGAAATGAAGAAACTGAGCGAGTCAGAAGGGTTCTCCCGGGCCATCTAGTCTGACCCCTGGCTCTAGCCAGCTCTGTTCATGACATACCTACCATGTGCATGTCCAGCCTATCCTTGAACACCCTCACTGATGGGGCTTCACCACCTCCTGTGGAAGCCCATTCCACACCCTTGGGGTCCTAACTCTCAGGAAGTCTTCCCTGGCATCCAAATAGAACCTCGGTTCCCTGAGCTTGGCTCTGTTGGAGCTCGTCCTGCCTTCCTCTGCAGGGGGGAACAGCATTCGACCTACCTCCCTGTGACACCCCGTCACATACCAAGATGTCGCCAACATTGACAAAGCCGAAATAAAAGAGGGCTCTCTAACCCCACTTCCCGGTTTTCAAAAGCTGTTTTTCTGTTGTCACACCTGTGTTTTCTATAGCAAGCATGTTAACTGTGAACATCTGTCTTAGATAATTAGCGATGTTCCTTGGAGTTCCAACTTAAGCGGGGCTTCCAGGTCCATGTAATACAGTGGTTTAAGGATGCACATCTGTCACTCATGCTTGGTGTGTTTGCACAGGGTGAGGCGAGCCGATTTTCCAAGTGATGCCTCCTTCAGCTCCCACTGTGTCGCATGTGAACAAAGAGAAGATGAGGCACCCTTTGCCAAGCATAGCTGCTGGGCAGCAACCTTCAGCGCAAGGAGAGCTTACTTAAGGGTGTCGGCTGAGTCATTTTACAACAAAGAGAGGCACTGTAGCAGTGGGGAATTTATATCTCAGTAGAGGTGTCGCATAAGCAGCAGTATAAGTGGAATACACAAAGAGGTTATCTCATTTCTTCCGGATGTCCACATACTTCTTTAAAATGTGGTTGGTTTGGTATGAATTCAGCAGCATCGGGACTAAATAGAGCTTTGAATAAAGCCATGCTTCCTCATTTTAGTTTTAATTGCAAAAAGAAGGGCTTCTTCAGAATGAATAGCAGAAGTAGAGCGTGTGTGTATGTGTCCTTTTTTACCTTTCCACTAGTTGGAAGAAGCATTTAGTGTGGAAAGGTACAAAGGCTTGTTCTCATTGAAATCTAGCTTCTTAGCAAACTCGTTTGTGGTTTTCTGCTTGAATTGCATTTAGAGCAACCTCTGTAACTCTCTAGTTAAAGTAATTTCTTTCTTTCTGTCACCAAGGCAGCCAAAAGTGACAAGCAGTAGCTTCCAAGAAGATTCTTCAAGGGGACCCATTTGAAATATTTTCTTTAATCGGATGATTATGTCTAGTTTATTTATTTTTATTCATTTATATCTTGATTCCTAAACTATATTGAGGCTTCCAAAGATAAATAAAATATAATATTCCAGATCACAGTAAAACACCACAACTCACTAAAAACAGCTTGAAAACCAGCTTGAAAACCACAGTAAGGACAGCAAGAAGACCAAGAACGAAGAGAGAAACAGGACATCCAAGGCCTGTGGCAACTGAAAGTCCTCCCCAAATATTCAAGGGCTGCCAGTGATCCAAATCCTGAAGAACCTCCACAGCCACTGAGTCCATGAGTCCTCATTGGGCTGAGCAGAACCTTCCCCCCACCTCGGGGGGGGGTGATTTTTGTATTGTTCTTATATAACCCATGAAATTTGCCCTCATCTGTTAATACCTTCCTCTTTTCTGTGAATGGTAGTTTTGATTACTTCTGAATTTCAGAAATAGAGGAAATTAAGAGTTCTAAAATTCCCTCAAACTTTTTTGTTTAGTTGCAAAGTCGTGTCCGACCCATCGCGACCCCATGGAACTGGGATATCTCATTTTCTGGACCACTGTTTTAGGTATTCTTCCAACCATTTCAATTAATGCACGTGTCTCTGATATCCCTTTTGCAGTAGCTTTTAAAAAAGCCTCTCTGTGCCCGGAATTTCCCTGGCTCAACTCTTTAATGTTTTGCCACTCGTGACCACAACCTTTAATTAATATGGGCAAAAGTTCCATTGTGCAGACCTAGAAATGTGTATAACTAAATTAAATACAACAATAATATGCCACAATATGGAGAAAAAAGGATGAGGGCTTCATCAAGAGGAGAAGGGCACAGCAGGATTAGTGGCATTCCAGGGGTTATAGAAATGTTTGCCATTTTCTGAGCAAGTGTGCCTGGAAGCTCGAATCGGAAAGCCTGGAGGGTCACGATTTAATGATACGATTAAAATGGTGTCTGCTGTCACAGTTTACCTTTTGGCGGGAGCTCTTGACCCCCCAGTACTGGGCTGACTGCACGGCAGAGGAAGAATAAGTAATTTGTTTGCTTTGGATGTCCAGGGTTGGTTCCCTGTCAATCTGATAATGTTTGCAAGGGTCTGTGTTGTCCACTGGCCTGCTGGACTGCAATGCTTTTTCCCCCACAGAAGAAAATGTGGGACGGAAAGAGATTTTTGATAATATGAGGAATGTGAATGATTAGCATATACTGTACTTAAGTTGGACAGCAGGAAGATTTCTGTTGCCAGATTCATGATGGAACAATGCCACTTAATGCAAAAGCCTTGTGGTTTGAGACAAAAAAAAAAAAAACCCCAATTCATTAGATTGCTTTACAAAGACGAGTGAGTTATAGAATCTTAGACTTGTAGAATAGTAGAGTCAGAAGGGTCCAGAAGCCCACCGGGTCCAGCGCCCTGCTATTGCAGGACACCACGTCGCACCATCCTATTTAGATTGTGTTGATTGTGTCTAGGTGCTTTAATGATCTTTAACAAACAGTTTAGCCAGTTCTGCTCCCTTGCTGCCTTGACTTGGCTGTTGATCTATTAAATAGCATTCACTGAACAATAGTTTATTATGGGAAGACTCAGTATCCTGTGATACAGTTGGTTGGGGAAGGGGGGTTTCCTACCTTTTTTGAGATACGAATTTTTCCCAGCCGCATTTATAAGACGTTCTGCCAGTAAATGCAGCCTCTTCTTTGATGTTTACAGGCAGCCCTGCTTGCAAGAAAGCTAGTGATAAAACTTCTGTGGACTCGGCTGCAGAGACTGCTTTGACCTCAGATGCTTCATCATTCCCCTGGGGTGCAGGTGCTGAGTGAAGTCTAGCATCTTCGTCATGCTTTATTTGTGCCCTCTCCTCCCATTTGTTTTTCAAAGTGTCTGCTTCCTTTTATGTTTTAAAAAGTTGACACTGCGACAAGGTGGTGGGATAGAATATAAATGAAGGCCGAGGGACCTGGGCACTGAGCAAAGGAGTTAATACCCAGCCATGTTCCAAAACAAGCTGTCTGTCATCTTATCCAGTTGGCTCTTCGAGTTGTTTATAAGGAACGAGCATCTTCTTGTTTTTCTGGTTTGTGGCCTGGAGTAGCAACTAAGATTGCACCAGTAGCGACAGGCAGGGGGTCTCTTAGGGCGTGTTAGATAGCTTCCAACCAGAAACCTACAGTCTTCTGCCTGGAGAACCTGAGTCGCTTCACACATTCCTACTTCGGAGCAAACACGTAGAAATACAGCATATGAACATAGCAAACAGAAATATGATTCTTTACTATTTTTCTTTGAAAATCTATATTCTGTCTTTGTGGTACCAGCAAATTATTCGGGATTGTTTATAGCAGTTTAAAACATCTCCAAAAGACATAAAAATTAATGCCATCATAAAACTTAAAATGGAGAGAAAGTAGGGTCAGATTAAAGCCTTGAAAGCGGGACATTAACCTATTAAAATTACTCAGCCTAACAGGCCTGAACATAAACACCTTGACCAGATGATGGAAGAATAACCGAGAGGGAGCCGACTGAACATCTTTGAGAGGAGCATCGCACAGTTTCAGTACATGCTGAAGGCCCTTTTTATACTTCTCAACCAATAAAATGTCTAGTGCCAGAAACGAAAGCTCAGCCCAGACAAGACGGGTGTTCCATTTGTCCAGATTAGCGGTGCTTGCTTTGCTCTTAGTGTGGTTACCCCTAAAGGTCCAAGTTCTTAGCTTGGGGATGCTTGGAGATCCATCTGAGTCAATAAGAAGGCGTTGTAGTTAGTACCAAGTGTCTTTCCCATCCTTCTCCATGGTAGCTGAGCCTTGTTGGACAGAGATAACTTGGCTTCATTGCCGTGTCCTGGGAAACTCCTGTTTAGGTTACTGCACCGCACCGTGCTGTACATGCCCTCCCTGAAGACGGTCGAGTTTGCACAATTTATGCCACCTAGGATGCTGACAGGGACTGGCAGTTATGATCCGTTAGACCGGTGTTGTGTCATCTTCACTGGCTTTCTGTTTGTTCCGAACCAACTTAACATAAAACGCATAAAATGTCAACACATAAAATCCTTCAATGCTTGGGGCAACCATCTCTGAAGGATCGCCTCTTCCTAAATATTCCTCCCCAACCCTGATTGTTGTCGGAGGGCTTCTTCCAAGAGGTATGGCAGCTGACTTTAATTCATTTGCCTGGGAAGCTCATAAACAGTGCCCTTGGAGGCAGCTTTAAGGGTGTGGGTAAGAGAGAGAAAACATGCCCCTTTCCTAGGAGTGGGCACTCATTCTTCTTTGACCAAAATGCAATGGGAGTGGATGTTGTGTGCCTTTGTAGGACATGAAGAGATGTTTTACAACTTCCTCAGATACCCGGCAACACACGGTCCCTTCTTCCACATTCTCTCTCTCTATTATAATAATGGGCATTTTCTAATGAATACTAAGTTAAGTTGAGTTGTGTTTTCTTGTTCTTCAGCAAAAGGAAGAGGAGGATGGAAACAACCATGAGCTTTCTGCAGAGGAGAAGAGGACATTGGAAAGGAAGCTGAAGAAAGAGCGCAAGAAGGAACAAAAAAAATTAATGCGAGAAACAGGAACCACAGCTAAGAAAGAAGAATCTAAGAAACCGTCAGGATCAGAGTTGGCACTGGACTACTTGACTACGTAAGTTTAGCAACTTTGTGAAAATCCCTTGAGTCATGAACAGAATCTGTCATTGCATTCGAATTTGCTGTGCTAGCATTCTCAATTCTGATGCGGCATATGAGAATGAATTCCAGCCATTTTGGAGGGATTCTTTCCAGGTAGGATGCGTAGACTCAAGTTTATGTGGAGATAATCTGAACAGGTTGGTTAAGATGTATGTACCTAAGGTTAACAGTAAGATACCTGTTTAAGTCGGAATGAGAATTTTGCACAGCAGACTTTCAAGCAGACCCTTTTCAACAAAAGTTGAATTGTAAAATCTGTGAATTGAGTGACCTACTGAATGTATGTGTGGCATCCAGACTGGTCCTTAGGCTCATGTAAGTGGCTTGCTTGTTTGCTTTGAACCAGTGGTGCACCCTCTCTCCCTGCACACAACCCCGAACCAGATGTGACGCTTCCCACAGTTGCCAGAGGAATAGACCACATGGCAGTGAGATGAAGAGGGCTTCCATAAGAGGAAAGCAAGCCCTCTTAGATTCACAAAACTGGCCTTATGGTTCTCTGGATCCTGGCCTGTATATTTACTTGTATCCACAGCTCTTTCTTCCCTGAACCCAGCCTTTCATTCCCTGCCAGGTTCCCTTCCCAAGCACCGCTCAGCCATAGACTTCCTTTGCTTCAAAATGGCTGTTGCCTCAAGAACCTTCTGATCTTGCTTTGGGGTTAATCATGATCCAGAACTAAACGAGTCTGCTTTCTGTTTTTGATTGTATTGTATGTCTCAATTAAGATTTTGTTTTTAATCTGTATTTTAATAGTGTGAGCCACCATGTGTGCTGTTTCTGGTGGGAAGCTGGGAGAGAAATTCAGTAAATAAATACATTCCTGGGGCTAGCTCCCAGTCCCTTAACCACAGTTAAAAAGAAGCCAACATTACATCTGCACTATCCCAGTCACACAGTGAGTAAGATGATGAGTATTCAAGCCAGTCTTCTTCTGGAAAAGCAGGATACTGTCCCAGAAGGAGAAGTCTTGCGAGAAAAGGAAGGAGAGAGATTGGAAACGCTGCAGCAGAACTTGTAGAAATCAGAAGTAAAGCAGTCACAGGCCAAAAGTGCACACTTCAAATATTTCCACAGCTATTTCACAGGTAGTTCTGTTATGTTTAATGAGTGGATTTAATGGGGATCGGTCATTATTCTTCCTTATAGAATGAAATTGCATGAAAAAATGTGAAATCATGCAGCTTTAAATGGCTGATTTACATCATGTTTGGTCCATATAAAAGAGTTCCACTGAACTGCATTTTAGAAAAAGTTGATGAAGAGTAACGCCTTGTATTTGCATACCAGAGTTTATTATGAGATGCTGACCTAATTGAGTGGTTTTGGACCTCTAATGATTTTTTTTACTGTAACTAGTATATTTGTGTGTAGGTCTTCAAACACTGAGGGTGGCAGGAAAGGTACTGTGGTTAAAAGAAACAAGCTTCAGTAGCAGACTACAGGCAGTTACTAGATGCAGATAAACACAAAGGTAGTGTTTATTTTTTCCTCAAACAGCAACTCAGTCTCCTCTTTAAAATCCAGAAGACTAGCATGCTACAAAATACAGGTTACTACCTGGAATACCTCCAGTTTCCTATCCAACAATGTTTAGGACCAAAATACTCAGAGAAAATCTGAATGGTTATTTACAGCTTTTCAGTGCAGAGGGCGGAAATGAATTCCATTCCGGGCTGGGGGACATGTGTGTTTTTCATTACATAACCCTCATAATGGAGTGATACCAGAATGATAGCGATATTCCCAATATGGGGAAGGGCTAGGATTCTTCACCACTGTTTTGAAGTGCTTTTGGATGGGCCATTATCCGGCATATGCTAAATGGACTCTGGAATTTTTGCTGCTGATCGTTACAACAACCTCTTTCAGGTTAGAAAGGAAAGGAACAAGCTGTGGGCATTTTGGGGATCGTCCTGTCATTGCAAAGTGAGCAAGTAAATACAGTATGTATGAAATGTTAGTGGAATGTTTTTTGTTTTGATGTCCTGGGTAAACAGATACAACCAAGCGTGTCCGATGCAACCTAATATCAGGTTGCCTCTGAATCCGGCAACAGGCGGTTCCTAGACAGCACAGATGGTAGGAGAGAACATCCACGCTGCTGTCCTCCTCCTCCTCCTCCTCCTCCTCCTCAGAGCCCAGGGCAGTGCACATGTTCTCTGAGCTAAGCTGGGCTAGGAAAGATAGGCCCAAGGTGGGAGGCCAGCTTCATGGCTGAGCTGGGGATTTGAATCCGATCGCCTTTTTTCCACTGCACTGGTTTCCAGCCTGGAAGCATCCTTGTAAGGTTCTGGAAGCTGCTTTATGTAACTTTATGTAGGTCTAGAATTTAGCCTCTAGATGGACATTTGGACTAGCCTTGCAAGGCAGTTTTTACATTTTTAGATCATTTGGGAAGGTTTCCTTCCTCCTGAGAGCAGGTCCCCATCAAAACATACAGAAGCTGCCTACTTCCTCCCCTGTTGCTTTGGTCTAGTGCCGCTGAAGATCGGCAAGCCTTAATAATGGCCGTAAGTTTTTTTTAGATCCCATTCTGTTTGTTACGGGTGAAGTGGGTTGCAAAGGATTGACTGCTCATTCCACTGACTGGTCGTGGGCTCTTACTTGATGTGACGATAGTCTCCGCCACAGTGAGCATTTCTGATGAATTCTCCTTGGTGCAGACAGATGCACTACTTATCCGACGGGGATCTGCCCTGCTGTGAATTTGGGAAGCCCTGAGACCATCATGGGCGCACAGAAAGCGATGTACAGAGGCCCAAAGAGAGGCAGTGATTGAGCAGGCACAAAATACAATAAACTTGAATTTCAGCTGCCGTGGGTTCTCTCAGAGTTGCCTTGTGAGGCTTCTTGGGAGTCTTCTTGGCTAAAGGGTGGGATAAAAATGAAATAAACAAAGAAATTATCCTGGGATGGCTAGCTGACTGCAGCTGCTGAATATTCTTCTTAAGAGACCCCTAATCCCTTTCACAGAACTTATAATTCCAAGGATTCCCTTGGGAGAGGGAATGTCTATTAAACCAGCTTAAGTCTGTAGTGTAAATACATACTTATTCATTTCAGTAAAAGCACATGAGCCATCAGGGACAATTTTGAATATCCTTTCCAACTGACATTAAACAGGAGATAACTTAATGGGATACTCATTACACATTTCCTTGATTGATGGAAACACCTTAAAGTGACTTCTGATGCTAATAATACCTTGTAGTTGAAGGAGTATGGATACATGCAGTAAAAAGCAGATTAACTTAGTCATGTGCGAATATATTAAAAAGGACACTACCTCGTTTTTTAAAAAAGCTTCAGCCATATTAAGCACCAGCTCAAAATAAAAGGAAAAAAGCAAACTAGTCTGCTTGTTTAATAGGCATAATGTGATGAGGTTGTTTGTAGTCTCTGTTCACACCACGTGCAGCTTACAATTACTGGTGTTTAGCTATTACCGTAGCAAGAAAAGAAGATAAAAATCTCCTGGCTTTATTTTTGGATGGCACTACAAGAATTTTCTTCAGCGGGTAAGAAACCATATTTCTGCTTCTGTTCTGGAGGAAGTTGCGGGTAACATTTTTATCTGGAAGTCCAAAAGGGAAGGGTTGGTTCCCTCCCCGGCTTTCCAACTGTTCTGGTGGCTGTTTTATTTCTGCTGGCGTGTCCATATGATCAGCACATGTGTGCGTGCTTTTTTACCAGCCGTTAAGATAGGGGTGAGGATTGCAAGTACGAGGCGGCTCAGGCCCTCTGAGATGGAGCCAGCAGAGGGCGCATTTTGGGTTTCTCTCCAGTGAAGCGAAGGCGCTTGCAAAAGGGAAAGGAGGTGTTTAAAAGGAAGGGAAGCTAGGGACTCCCACCCGTTGCATTTTATGGCTCTTCTTGGTGGAAATGTTTCTGTTATCTCTGTTGTCAGAAGTGCTTCCAGGGCATTGCAGAGCAGTAATACCCAATCCAACCTGTAAAACTTAGCACGCTGCAAGTAAAGCCAGCACCGATCTTTCGAAAACACATGAATAGAGCACATGATGGACAGGCACCTAACATAGCGTCAGTCCGTCGTGCCTCCTAGGGGAGGAACATCTGTTTCATTATACAAACGGTGATGTATAGTCAACCTTCACTGGGGGTGGAGGTGCTGATTGGAGCAGTATTTATTTAAGGGGAAAAAAACCAGTTCCTGAGGTTTCTGTTATAGTTTTTAATAAAGGAATAACCAAACTTGCCAATCTTTGCAGTGTTGGTGTACCACCGCATACTGTTCGATATTTGTTGCAAGCTTTTTAAAATCACATTTTTAAAATGATTTTTACATGCCATAGCTGAAGTGCTGGAAGGTGTTGGAGTATAAATAAGGGCGAACTAGGATCTGTTTGAGCTCCTGAGATCCAAAAAAGAACTTCTGTGAAATTGACAGCTACCTGTGACCTGGAAATGACATTTCTGTCCATGTGTCAGACCTGCTTTTTCCTGGAGATTCATAGCTCCATTGAAACCTTTGGAAATGTTGCTGTTGGCATTTCCAGGGGTGATGATATGCCCAAACAGATAATCCAGTGAGGCATGTGGAAGGCCCAAATTGCAATGACTAAAGAGCAGTGGTTTGCCTTGCCTCTCAACCAATGAGAAGTCTGAATTGCCCACCCCAATATACCAGTTGCAGCATAAAGCAATCACAGGTGCAGTTCTATATAGGTTTACCTAGGAATAAGCCTTCCTTGTGAGTAGATATGCATAGGATGAGACTGTAAAATTAGGAATTCCCCAGCTCAATTCTTTCTGAATTTGCCAGGCAGACATACACAGAGCACCGAGCAAGGGAATCCAGGTGGACCGTGTGCTTCAGATTCGTTTGACTGGTTGATGCTAGAAGAAGAAGTGTTAAGCTTCTTCACCAAGTTCTCCAATAAGGAACAGTGCAATATCATCACTAAATTAGCCAAACTACAATCCCAAGTT